TTTCCCCGAGTGATCCCGCTTCACTCCCTGTTGCTCTCTCACGCGTCGTTTCTTACTCTTTTACCCAAATCAATGGCAGAGCGGAGGCACGGAGGGATCTAAAACGAGAGAGAGACTGATGCATTGTGAGAATGGAAGTTATAAGCCATAACGTGAAGATGCAGTGTAGCGCACAGACAGACAGGTCTTGTTGAAATGTGTTCACTTTAAAAGCACGCACAATTGCACACTTCGAGCACAAGAGGTCTCACACTGTCTGCCGTACACGCACATGCTTAGATCTATGAGATGGAGATGAGGAGGGTTTGTTTGCCCTATACACACACTCACACACACACACACACACACACACACTCACACATGCGCACACACTCACACTCTCTCGCACACACGCACACTCGCACGCACACACACACACACACACACACGCGCGCGCACACACACACTCACACTCACTCGCGCACACACACACACACACTCACTCGCGCGCACACACACACTCACTCACACACACACACACACACACTCACTCACTCACTCACTCACTCGCACACACACACACACACACACACACACACACACAAAGGCAGTCTGGTCTGTCTGTCTCTGACTGTGATTGTGTACTTCTCTTCTCTAATGCCACGTGACATTTTGATCCCAACGATAAAATGTGTGAGAATTGAATTCAGCCGGTTTCCAGCATCTGTGATCTGGAGTCTGGCCTCAGAAAGTCGCTCTGAAAGTCACGCTTCGGGTCGGGTTTATTGTCTGTAACGCAGAAGCTGTGGCATGTTTTCTCTTTTTCTTGCTTTTAAGGCTTTCTGTTCACAATTGAAGAATCGGCTCCGTTTCAATTCACGACCTGGAATTTGAATTGAATTGGCTCAACAGGATGTTGGAATTTGAAAGACAGGAAGATGAGTTCCAAATTTACCGAATTGGAATTTTGCATTTTAAATAAACATTGATTCTTGATGTCTTCTAGTGTTTCAAATTCTGTTTTTAAAAATCCTTTTTTTCAATTTTAAATATTACTAACACTATTTACAGTGTACTTATGCATAATAACATGCAGTTAACCCTAAACAAACCCTAACATTAACCCTATATAGTAAGTACAGGTTGTTAATTATTATTCCTCAGTACTTAAGTGTAATTACACTGTAAGAAGGACTGCTTAAAACTATTCTGCATCCTGTTTGCTACCTCAATTCAAATTCAGACGTTGAATTATCTCATGTTGATGCAGTAAAACTCCTCAGATGTTTTCCTTTGATCGATTCTGCAGCTTTATCTGTAAAGTTTAGATGGGCCGATGCATCTCTTTCTGTTTCCGTGCGTTGAGCGTGTGCCGATGGTGGTTTCACTCAGGCATGTTTTAGTGAAAGCAATGAAAAAGATTCAAATCAAGCAATAATGAGCAGGATCGGTGTCCTTCAAAGCCATTTTTGTCGCTAACCTAATTATTGTTATGTTTTAATATAGAAAAGAAGAAACCTATAGTGCTTCATCTGGGCTGTCCGTGTTTGCTGCTGGGCTTCAGCTCTCCGTGTGTTCATTTGGAAATCGTTATTCTGATTTAGTCTTGTACAGAGAATATTCCAGAGCTTCTATTGGCGGGTTTGATTGTTGTTCATTTGCTTTAGATCGAAAGCTTTTGAATTAAATGTTTGATGTTTGCTTTTGAATGTGGATGTGTCTGCGTCTTTTGTCAGTACTTTCGTGCATTAAATCGAGTGCTCGTGTCACTTTTTTTCGGATATGAAAGGGTCAGTGCTCTGGTGTTTTTTTTTCTTCTTCGTTTTGATCTGCAGTTTGTGTACAACGTATAGAAAAATACATAAATATGTATATGAAATATTAAAGATAACTTTTTTTTTT